GGTCTACCGGCAATCTCAGGTACCAAAATTCACAAGTGTATCCTTCATATTGAATATAAACGCAGCTTATGCAATAAACATGTGGATTTATTGGATATATGCCGTTATACTAAAAAGAAATCAACAGATAACAATCTCTTTTTCCAAACAACACATTTGCAGGAGAAAATAGTGGCAAAGGAAGCAAAGGCACGGACACTAAAGATTTACACCCTCAAACTCAACGGGTAATGCGCCATTCAGTTCAATTATATGTACATATAGATATTCGAAGAAAGAAAATGAATCACTTTCATATAAATGACGAAATTAAACAACACAACCTCACCGATGTTTGCTTTTCACATACTCACTAGGTTGAAACAATTTACTCAAGAAGACAACGGATCAATTTCGACCCGGAGACTTGGTGAACACCCAGAGCGGATTCAAGCTTCAAGATCAGCCCAAACCTACATGTTCCAAATATGTTGTCAAACAAACCACTACTTCCAAAACTCATATTGATTTTACTATAGGATTTTAATCTTACCATTAAAGCTTATTACGAAACCTCTCTAACCCCGCACTGTCATAATTTTGAGATGGGTGAGGTACAATCTTTTCCAGAAAAGGAAATAGAGACTCTAACAAGAGAAAATCAGCAACGTCTGGAGGTAAGAGGGAAGTCAGAAGAGAGGGACGATTGACCCGGCAATGACTCGGTAGAATAATTCAAACAGCAAGATAAAGACGAACGACTGATTGGAGTCTCCCAAACACTCACCTACTCCCACCCACCTAACAATCACTATTATAATCACCGAGAAATTCCATTCAAACACCTACTTCAAATAGTTTACATCTGCTGTGGATATAATTCAAATCTACCAACTGAATTCCCATCTCAATCCAAGGAACCAAATAAATATTTCCCAAATCCAAATTGATTTTAGCCAGGAGTTGAAATCTTCCCACTCGGCCTTTACAAGAGAAAACATTTAAAACCGCAAAAGCAGAGTTCTCAAATGGCCACCTACAGAGGATGTAGTAGGAAAGAAAAGAGAAGACACAGAGACGAAAAGAAGAGGCTACAAAGACTAGAAGAGATAAGCGAGTAGCGTTGATTTTAACCGACCCACAAGCAATGAATATTACAATCACGGCCCAACATATAAATTCGAGTATACGAACCAACATAGACACAATATAATCACTTAAGCGAGAGGAGAAGGCATTTAAATCAAACTATCCCTCAAACAATAAACCAACTCTGAAATTAACATATTGACATACACACTTTTAAACTAGTAAATTCCGAACAACCATAAAAATGGTAAACATATACGAAAAAAATATAAACACCCCCAAAATCTGGGACACATCCATTCCCATAATTTTAATCACAACTGAACAACATATGAAAATAGCTACAACAAAATCCACTAATTACAAACATCTCGAATGTCCATAACAAGGAAACATACCATATAAAATAAAACTGGGGAAACAATTACGCATGCATATCAGGTTACCTTTAACCAACTCATAACTAAATAACATCCCAAACAAAAACAAATGCAACTATACCCGCGCAATCAATCCCTAGTATAAATAATGAACATGTGTAATTTAAAATATTTATATGAGTGTAATGAATATGTATCAATGATTTTAAAATCACACTATAAATCATTGACGATGATTGTCGATCATTGTATTGTTGTTCCTTTTTCCATGACGATGTTTGTGATATTATTTCTTAGTTAGTCTGTGTTGCTCTTTGTTTCCATTTTGTGTGATTTATATGTTGGTTGTGTAAATTCTGTTTAGAACACTCTGAAACATTTTTAATTGCAGATCATTCTACTGATTGTTTTATTTTGTGGTATTTTCTAAGCTATCTCCTTTACTCTAATGTTTTTGATTCTTTTGAGTTACTCTAAAACGTTTGTGACAACTCCAGAATAAGTGACACCGAAAAAAGTGAATAAACTCTTGCAAGTTTAAGAGAAGGAGCAGCACGAGATTATGGTTCAAAACTCTATGATAAGCCTCATGTTATTAGAGAAGAGGAAGAAGAAGTTGATGTAATTAGAGAAGAGATTCAAGTTACCCCAAAGATACCAAAAAATATTAGTCATTTTATGATAAGATGGATTTAGTTATATATACATAGAGAATGAATGGTTTGAAGTGAATTATACTTATACCGCTGATTGGGGGAATTCACAGCCTCATTCTATACGTTAGAACGTGAATGCGGTTTAAAAGAACATTTCACTTAAATAGACGTAAATTCAAAACTTCATAGATCCCTGCTAACCTATTATACATATGAATAATATGTATATATGAATGAATAATATGAAAATATTATACATATGAAAAATATTGTAGCACTACTCAGAACGTAGTGATAGAAAACAACTTATAATTTCAGAAGACGATTTTGAAAAAAAGTTATTCAATGCAATTTGTTGGATTATAGGTTACTTTCCATGCGATTTACAAGACCATTATTACTATTCCACGCTGATTTTGATTGTGTCCAAACTCTTATCTGAGTTTTCTGTTTATAAGTTCGATAGACAAACTCAACCAGAGAATGATTGAATTTGGGATGGTTTTATATGTAGTTGAAGATGATTTTAGTAAACATTGCAATCTCACACAAACTTAAATACAAATGGATAGATCTTCTTAAAGGGCAAGTAGCTTGATTGGTCGTGGCCACTTTGTTGACGGATCTTTGTGTACCTCGCCGGTGTGTGCATTGTGTGGCTAGATGTTGGTGATCAATTCTACATTAGTAAATTGCTCAAATGAACAAAAACTGTGTGTCTATGAACCCTATCATATCGTTGCGAAGAGAGAAAACGTCATCTTCCCGCAATCGTAGAAGGGATGTATTAGCTCTATAAAGCAAACTAATAAGTATACATTTAGAGTTCTTTTGAATTTATGTGGGTTTAAAAGCAAATTTCACTTAAAATCCACATATTTAGTTAAATCGATCATTTAAAATCGTTTCATATTGTATGTATATTTTTTGTGAACCATACAAAATAATAATTTTAGGTAGATCAATTCTTAAGTTATATGAAACTATTACAAGTATATTTTCTTATGTTTAAAGAGAATAATAACAAATTAGAGTGTCGCGGGAATAATACAAAAATGACTATTGTATTAACTTCATTCCTAAAAATACAAACGTGTATTTTTGAAAAATGAATGAATAAAAAAAAATTATGTTTTAATTCGTTAATAACATATCAATGAAGTAACTAACACCTAGTTCTTCGTTATAAACACAAGTCTCGGAAGTCAGGGAAACCACTCTTAATACTAAAACATAAAGGCCTTACTCCAATTGTAACGTTTGGCTTTCCCTATCTCTGTGACTTGGGAGAGAAAATGGGGACGAAGGCAAGAACAACGACTCTAGTTTCGGAAGAAGAAGAAGAGACTCCTCTCAGAGGCATATTCTGTCTTAAAACCAGACAAGACATGAAGAGAATCGAGGAAACTGAGGACTGTTTCATACTCGATTTCGATCCTTTTGATTGCTTCGACCTGACAAGACTCTCTATATCTGGTGATAACGATCTTGCTATAATCCATGAGACAGGCCAGGTTTTGAGTTTTGATATTTTGTGTTCTAGATTAGGGTTTATCTCTATCGTTATTTTGATTGCAATTTTGAAAAAAAAAAAATTGATGGAATATATTGTTGAGCAGGTGGCTTGTAGAGATACCCACATCCAAGACATTTATGCTTGAACTTTCCCTTTGGATCAACTCCTAATGCAAACCATTGTGATTTGGTAATTTTTATTTTATCTCTTCTTTGTGAGTATATTTGCCAAATTTTTAAAGAAATTGATCAACTTGGTGTTTATTGTTTTTCTATAAATCTCCTATGAAAGTTACTGTCGTAAGTTTACCAACAATATATGCAGTGTTACTGTTACGTTTGCGATAAGCCTGCTCCTTGTGCACAATGGAAGTCTTCGCACTGCAATGCTTCAGCGGATTCTATGGAGCGGAAGTTACTGATCCCTGAGAATGAGAGCTACTCTAACGCTGATTAAGATCATCTTTTAGTAGATCAACATATATAGCTTTGGAACACTATGTAATGACAATAATGCGTAACTATTTCAGTATGAGAATTTTATGTGGGTATTCAAAACGCATTTGCTCAGTTAAATTGTGTTGCTTGCTGAAAGATTCCGGTGTAGAGCTCGGTAAAACGGGTTATATAATCGGCGAACATGAGTCGATTTCAAAGTTGAGAAAATAGTAAACACAAAGCGGTTTTATATAAAAGATCTACCTTTGAACTTGCAGCTTCTTTGACAAGTATAAGGAGAATATTGCTCTCAAGCTTCATTAAGGTTTTTGCCACATATATCATGATAGAAGTCAGTCAGTTACATGTTATTCTAAATTTATAAAGCATAGGTTTATTTCAACTTTCTTTCTTTAACTTCTCAAATAATTTATGTATAGAGGATTGTTCATTGTTCTTTTAATTACAAAATAATTTTGTTCAAATAACCAAAAACTCAGATTGTTTTGTAAATGACATTTTCTGAATGACAAAGGCTGTTCGTATGTGATTGTGGAGTTTAATGTAATGACATTTTCTTTGTATGAGATTTTGTTAATTCGTTTAAGTTGTATTGCAAATGCTGAAACGAATGAACTAACTATTTCTTGACAAGTAATGGACAATATTGCTGCTTCCAAGTTCCAAGCTAAATTGTCTCAGGCTTTTCGTCATCAGGATTCTTCCAAAGGAATTAAGATTGACACAAGAAGTTGCATAACTCTCTCATGTTCTTTGTTATCTGCTCAAACAAAGTTCACAGGGAAGTAAGATTGAGGTTTTGTGAGCATTTGTATTGTTCTTCCTTCTTATCCTTTTAAA